ACCTACATTTCCTTTTAGGCATCTCCTATCCAAATACTGATTGAGCCCACATCTGCTTAGCTTTTGAGATAGCACAGGTTCATGAAACAAGATAACATTGCTACTGGTCAGCACAAATATCTGCACTGCTGTGGATAGCTAATGGGCCATAGTTTACTTTATTCCCTTTTAAAGGCTCTTTACAAAATCTGTCCTTCAGATTCTGTCTTCAGTAAAGTCTCCTTAATAACAATGATTGTGTTGTTCAGAATTAACTGGTGTTGAGTTGTAACTTTAAAGGGCAAACACTTGAAAGTTTTAGACTAGACCAGCGGTTCTCAAACTTTTATTTTTCATGGACTACTTGAAAATTGCCAAGGGTCTTGGTGGACTGCTTAATGATCTTTCCAAATGTTTCAAATGTTAGCTAACTATTGTAAAGAGCTTTGGATAAAACAATCTTAATTATTATTAACTTATTAATTCTGAGCTGGGAAGGAGGGAGGGTTTCTCTCCCACTGCAGAAATGAGGCTGAGAAGGAGGGCTGTCTCTCTCCAGCAGCCACAGCCCTGGAGTTGGGAAAAGTTACCTTTTTCTTCTAGCTGCTGCAGCCCGGCATATCCCAAATTCTCACCATTCCCTCTTCATGATCCATGTTTATTAGCCATTCTGCTTCTCAGTCTTCCAGAGCATTTAACTCCATCTGAACTTTCTTTCAATCTTACATAAATGTTTGAGAGGAATCAGCTCACTATTATTAATTATTAAGGGTATGTATTGCCATTTGTGAAGTTGTGTTGTGCCTAAAAATGGGGGGAACCAAGCCTGAATAGGACTACTCTCACACAAGTAAAGAATAATATTAAAGCACTTGATTTTGCAAACCTTCTGTTTATGTGAATAGTTCAGTTGAGTTCAGTGAATCTGCTTCTGTGATTAAAGAGAGAGAGAGTGTGTGTGTGTGTGTGTGTGTGTGTGTGTGTGTGTGTGTGTTGACAGATTTGGTGTATAGCACTGACAGTGTCTTTGGTATTGTTAAAGAGACAAAATAGACAGCCCTTGTCAGCTAGTTCAGACCACATATTTAGATTTGAAAAAATAAGTTTCCATCATACTGAATATTGATATTCATCAGGTTGAAATCTAGTGTGTTGTGTGTGAGAGAAAGCTAAAAGTAGTATCAGGCTCTATAGCCACATTGGTCCTCCTGACTTGTTATCATTCGAAAGCCACATTGCCCTCCCTCTCTTTTAGGGATGTAAGAGGTTACCCAGCAAGCAGGCAGTTTATTGGCCTACTTACAAAGTTACCGGTTAACTGACCTGGCCAGCTGGACCGTGCCCACAGCCACGGAGGACGTGGCCTGAGTAACCTCCTGAGGCTGGTGGTCTGGAGCAGCTCCCCATGTGCGGAAGTTAACCAGTTAATCAAAACATTTAACTGGTCAAGTATTTTTGGGTGTTTTTACATCCCTACTCTTTTGTTTTCAATGTTCTTTTTGCTCATCTGTTGCTGTGTAAAAGACCCACACAAATAAAATGGAAAACTGTATAGTCATTCCACTTTTTCCTTGGTGCAGTCAAAGTGCTGTCATATGGACTCTAGCCCCAGTCCAGCGACATACTTAAACATGGGCAAAGTTTTAAGCATCCAGTGAAGATAGTGGACCCACAAGCATTTAAAGCTGAGTGCATGTTCAACTGCTTGGCTCAATTGTGGCCTTAGTAGTTAGAGTATCTGGAAGTGAATTTTTCTAGAAACAAATTAGGAGTAAGCATGAAGCTAACTAGTCTAGGGTATTTTCATCGCTTTGGCTTAGTGCTATGCAAATGGAAACTACATAAAACTTAAAAATATATTTCTAATTTAATAATGTACAGATTGAACCTTTTAAATCTTGGACTTTCTGGTCCGGAAACATCCGCGGTCTGGCAGGATCATAGATGTTGCTGGACTAGGAGGGCCCTGGCGCCCAGGAATGTGAGCCAGTCAGGAAGTCCAGTGGAGGGCAGCCTCACCATCAGACCGGTGAGCTCTGTCCCCGGAGAGCCCCAGCTAGGCAGGGCAGCAGTGGGACCAGCGAACTCCATCCCTGCAAAGCCCCATCCTGGTGTGGAAGCAGAAGGGCAGTTGCAGAGCCCTGTTCCTGGAGACCCCTGGCTGTGTGGGGACAGCAGAGAGGCAGCCAGCAGTTGGTGAGTCCTGTCCCCGGGAAGCCCTGGCAGAGCAGAGTAGCCTAGACCCTGGGAAGCCCCGGGCAGGACAGAAGCAGGTCATCCGTGGAACCCTGTCCCTGAGAAACCTCGGCTAGGAGGGGCAGAAGCGGGGCTGCAGCAGCTGGGGAGCTCCATCCCTGGAGAGTCCAGCCAGCTGGCGGCAGTTTGCCTAGTCCAAGCCCCGTAGAAGCAGTTGCAGTGGAGCTGGAGCAGAGCCAGCCAGAGAGAGGGGCAATATCCTGGGAGGCTGGTGGCAGGGGACCTCCCCTGATCTGGCAAATTCCCTCATTCGGGACCAGTGAGGTCCCGAGGGTGCCAGACCAAGGAGGTCCAACCTGTAATATGTTTTGAGTATGCAGTGTTATAACCGTGTCAGCCCCGGGATATTAGAGAGACAAGGTGGGTAAGGTAATACCTTTTATTAGACCAACATCTGTGGGTGAAAGAGACAAGCTTTTGAGCTACACAGAGCAGACCTAAGGAAGAGCTCTGTGTAGTTCAAAAGCTTGTCTCTTTCACCAATAGAAATTGGTTCAATAAAACGTATCATCTCACTCGCTTTGTCTCTCTATTATGTTGGAGTGTCAGATGAAGAAGCTTACTTTTTAAAGTGATGGATTCAGACTCTTCTGTCATTTATGTCAGCATAAATCTAGAGTAATTCTGTTCATGTAAATGGATTTACTTTGTGTTTACATCAGCGTAACTGAAAGTAGAATTCACTTCATTTTTTTTATTTGACATTGTCTTAACACTGGTCCCAATTATATGAGCTATTGTTAACCTCACTGTACTCTGAGAAGATATTGTTCCCTACAA